GGGTGGGGCAAATTGACCCACCCGTCTCAACAGCCTGAGCCCAATTCATGTTTGATCGCTCACGGCTCACGACTGCTCAGGCCGGAACCATCTTCAACCAGCGCTCACCGGAGGTGGGATCTAAGTACTGTGGCCAAGTGCGACGATGTCAGTGCTCAGTCTGACACAATATCACATGTCACTTGCAGCTCCCAGCCACTGAGTTTGAAGCATAAGCTGAAGTTCAGAGCTTCGAGCACGCCCTTGCATTTGCTTCTTCTCCAGAGCAGAGGGCCAGTGCTTTTGGTGTTCAGACCAGAAGTGTTATTGAATATGATTGAGTTTTGCTATTACATAAATATTAATAGTAACTTATTTGGGTAATTTAGTGTCGGCTTTCTGAAGCTCGCACGGTCCTGGTTGTAAAACAGAATCGGAAGTGAAGTAGATCTTTGAAGGGCCACTGCAATAAGAATGGGTCGGCCGAAGCGTCGGCTGAGTTTTGGCAGCGACACCCAAGCAACCGGTATACGCTGCAAGCACCCGCGACGCAATGATGATGGAGATAATCGTCCAGCCGCCGGGATAGCAATTTACCAAGTTGTAATACAGTGCGATAGCCTGTATTCGTGTTGACATTCACGTGTGGTTAGAAGCGTTCTCAGGTGATTCGAGTTGGAACTGATTTCTCCGGAATGGGCAGCTTTGAGCTGGCGGCGAAGAATGTGGCTCATGCCCTGAACGTCCCCCTGGATTGTGTCTTCGCATGCGAAAGGGATCCAAATTGTCAGTCCGTGCTGCTAGATAACCATTGTCCCGGGATAATGTTTTCTGATGTCGACCAACGGGATCACTTGGAAGCTCCTCCGTGCGACTGGTTTGGAGCTGGGTTCCCTTGCCAAGCATTTTCATGCTGCGGCTTGCACCAGGGGATTCATGACCAGAAAAGTCGCGGACTACTAGTAGCACACTCTCTGGACTACATTCGTGCACACAGTCCCCGGTTGGTCTTCATGGAGAATGTTGTTGGGTTGCAACATGCTCAACACAGGCCACTCTTGGCATGGATATTGGTTACCTTGAAAGATCTTGGTTACGACTGTCACCACAGAGCATTGAACACAGCACACTATGGAATTCCACACCGAAGAGAACGACTGTACATTGTCGCGATTTTGAGGCATCACTTGAAGCGTCCTTTCACGTGGCCGGAGCCAGTACCCACTCCCCCTTTGGACGAGTTTCTTTCTTCGGCAACTCGATTCTCGGCTCAGTGGATATAGGACGTGTGTGAACGCATTCATTCACTTTCTCCTTCGGATGATTGTCCGAAAGATTCTTTAGAGCCAAGGTCGTAAGGAAGCTACCTATCCACCTCGAGACCACAAACGAAGCTTCCTGAATGTGACGGAGGCCTATAAGAGGATCTGGTTTAAGGGGTCGGACCCGGCACGAGATTGCTATGTTGTGGATTGCGGGGCTTCGTTGAATTGGCTCAACGTCGCGAAGAATGAGTGTATGTGCCTCATACGCAGCCGCACTTCTCCTGAAAGTTATTGGCTGAGCAATCTCGGAAGATATCTGTCAACGGAGGACCGGTTGAAGCTGCAGGGCCATGATATGGCTATGAAGAGGCCAGTATCTGATAAGACATTGAATGCCATGCTAGGAAATGCAATGAGTGTCAATGTGGTCCAAGCAATTCTTTTGCAGGCTGCATGGGCCATGGGCCTTGGGTAGGCATAGAAGAATATTTTGCAAATTCGATGCAAGCGCACCTCACGTGTGCAAGCACGTGCCATGTATAGGCTAGGCGGATGGGCTAAGAGGCCATTTCAGGTCACATCTCGTCGGGATGCAAAACCGCGGGCTACGACCATTCAACATGCAGGACGATTGTCGGTTTGTGCCTGTCCCGTGCGAGACCTTGAACTTGAGCACATCCTTGATTCATGTGTTCAGTCTTCCAGCAAGGGTTTCCTGTTACGGGAGACCCGTGACACTTGCCCCGTCGTTCCTTGATTGGGCTCATGGCTCCCAAGGCGAAAAATAAGGCGAAAGCCAAGGCGAAAGGGCAGGCAGCGGCAGCGGCAGTTGCTGCCCCGGCCGCCGATGCGGCGCAGGGAGGGGACCCCCTTCTTCGACTGGACTTGTCTGCTCCCCATCCTGCGAACGTGACTTACCTCGATCAAGTCCAGACTGCCTGGAATACCATCTTGGGTCATGAGGTGTTCGAGGGCCTCGTGGCGAAGGATCCGCTGGTAATCCACGCAGGCGAGAAAGGCTTCCAAAGCCCTTACAATGATGCGGAGTTTGTCTTGGCCCTGCAAGAGACAAAGCAATATGCCTGTGGAGGCAACCTAGCGTGGGTGTCTCCGACCTTCTCCACTAGCCCAGGTGTGCCTTTCAATGCCAAGTCTGTGGGGAAAGTCAAAGCATATTACTTTGGCGACACGACCGCTCCTTCCCGATTTCCTCATAACGTCGTCGTTGCTGTGAGCCCTGAGCAGCTTCGGTCCGGATCTATGATGGGAGAGAAAGGAAGCATGCAAGCTTGCAGCCCGCCCGAAACACGGCATGCCCTGATTCTTCGAATCGCGGAGCTCATCAAGGAGGGCCTGACGGACGAGAAGTTGCAAACCTGGCGCCGGCTGATTCTTACGACAATGTTCGTTTTTGAGCTGCTCCCGAATGGGGATGCACTGTCCGCCAGGGCAGACAGTCTTCGCGAGAATGCGGTTTCAGACTACAACGCTCACGCTTGGACTTGTCTTCAGAAAGTGTACCATCTGAACTTGTGGTGTGCGAAGAAGGAAGAACAGCTGGGCAGCCTTGCTGCCGAGAAGATTGCGGAGATGTTTAACCAGGATTGATATCAGCTGATAGTAGTGCAGCAGGTCTGAAGCGACTAAAAATTAAGAAACCTCATGAAACTCCATGATCCTTGTGAGGAGCGTGCAACTTCGGAGGATTCGGAAAAAATCACGCCGAGCTGGGTTGACCAGGCCATGACTGTCTGGGACAGAATGATCAAAATCCCCAGCATCGCTGCCGTCATGCTGAAGATGGACCACGACTATGGGCACGACGCTCCCTTGAACGGCATCGTGGCCATGCAGGGGCTGGTCTCGAAAACACGCACCGAGGACTGGGCTCTTGTGTCCCAGTGTGCAGAGTCTTCGGTTATGTTCCCCTTCATCCCCTCGTATGGCTGCAGGACATGCTGCTGTGGGTGGTCGGCTGCATTGACCAGTACTTTGAGTGCGGCTACTTGGTCAAGGGGGAGCTCACCACTCGGCAGATCAACCCTGCTGGCGGTACTAAGGGTACAGTCGACCTTTTCATGTACAAGAAAGACATCTGCGAGCACCTGCTCCATACCTTCCTCGATGAGTTGGTGGATGACCAGGACATCAGAAGAGTCATTCGGAACCGTTTGGCGGACCACACATGTCATCACAATTACTTCGGATGGCCTCGCGATGTCGAAGCTACGGACCTTACCTGGTACTCGGCCTGGGATGAGGGCTGCCGGGAGGTCATGCTGTTCATAGAGGCAGCAAGCGCAGACAAAACATCATTATGGTCATCCCGCCTTGAGCCCTAAACCCATAATGACTTTAAGCCCTAAACCCAGACAGGCCGTCGTCTACAACAAGACACACGACTCTGTCTTGAAGCAGGCGCTCAAGAACCGCAAAAGTGCTACAGAAGTGCTGGGCTACGGCGCCTTTGAGACTTTGGTGCAGGACCTCCTCTTTCGTCGCTTTGCTTCGTTGTAGTGGGTTTGTCCAGTCAATCGTGGTTGCAGGAACTCAAGAGTACCATCGAGAAAGATCGGAAGGCCAGCGGCCAGGCATTGCCAGGAACTGCTCCGGCAGCACCTGTTCATTCTGTGAAGGATGTGACGGACATCCCCGAGCACATCTTGTCCGCTAGCCTGGAGGATCTGGAAACTGATGAAGACAAGATCTTGAAGTACCGAGCTATGGCCATGCATACAGTCAAGACCCGCATTAAGCTCATCGTCGAGCCGAGCTCCGACGAGGCCTTCGCTACGGCTATAGCTGATACATCAATTGGGCAGCTTCGCGGCGACAGCCAGAAGAAGATCCTGTGCTTGTACGACATCAAAAAAAGCGGGGAGTCGGTGACGGCACCGCATTTGAGACCGCCGTCCTTTCGCAAGGAACATGCCCAAAAAGGCTTGAGAGCTGTGATGGCATCGCGGGGAAAGAAAGAGGAGGTGCATGAAGGAGATGCCTTCTTCGTTTACGATGCTGGCAAAATGGGCCCCCTAGATTACAGATGATGTTTCACGAAATAATGCTTTTGCATGGTTTTTCGGACAAGTGAAGTAGTATTGCTAGCTGCAGGCAACGAGAGGGCCATCAGCACTTTGCTCAGCACGAACGAGGGCAAGCGCATTGCCCACGACAAGCGGATTATCTTCTTGACTTACAGCGAGGAAAGCCTCCGAGCACGACGTAGTGTGGTTCGTGGCATGGGGAGCCTTCACCAGGCGTCGAGCGAGAGAGATAGAGAGAGAGAGAGAGAGAGAGATTGAGATTGACAGATAGACAGACAGACAGACAGACAGACAGACAGACAGACAGAGACCAAGATGTCGCACAGGTGGAGATGCTGTACATCTTCACGAAGAGCAACTTGGAGATGGCCGAAGCGAAGCACCCGATCTACACCGGCAGCACCGCTGGGAATCTCATCGGCCCCATCCAGCTTGAGAGTTTCCAGGACTGCGCTTGGCAAGCCACCTTTGAGGACAAGAAGAAAATGCTGGGCAGCTTCCGAGTGGCTGTTGGTGGGACGACGGAGGGCAGTGAGGCGACCCCACGTCCCCAGTTCAAGAACAGCGAGCTCAAGTACAAGAAGCACGGGAGCAGTGAAAACTGTGACGGCGACTACGAGCCTTTCTGCTTTCATAGCCTCCCCAGCGACTACTACAAGGATATGTTCAGGACCTGGGCCCCCAAGTGCATCATAGATCTCACCGCGGCTGACTTGGCAGCAGCGATCGTGGCAATCGAGCTCAAGATGCCCTACCTCGGTGTGATGTTCAGTGAATTCCACCTTACGGAAGGTTACAAGCACGTCGCCGACATGACTTTCCGTGCCATGTCCGAGGAGTCCTCTCCGTTGTACGAGCCTAAGCTGGCTGCGCTGCTGAATCCTGGTAAGGCCCCAGGCAAAGGACGTGGCAGGGGAAGGGGCCGTGGTCGGGGTCAGCAGGGGGGCGATGGCGACGAGGAGACGGATGTCTTGCGTAAGGACGGCGAGACCGAAGGTCAAGGGTCGGGGGATGCAGGAGGCTCCGGTGGCAAGGAGGGCAATGGTGGAAGCACCGAGCCGAAGAAGAAGAAGCCCCGCACAGACAAGGGCACTTCCAACACCGGTGGCAGTGGCAGTGGCAGTGGCAGTGGCAATGGCACTCAGACCAGTCTTGACCAGCTCATGGTCCAGTTGAAGAATCTGCGCGGTGCCGGTGCCGGTGCCGGTGGCGGTGCCGGTGGCAAGTGATTGCTGCCCTTTGATTTTCCAATCCTAGCTTCGCGATCGTATGAGTTTACCTTTGCTTGCAGTGGTTCCTAGCTGATAATATAACTACTTATATTGTACCGACAACAACAGTCGCTCTACGAAGCCGGTGGACTCACGACATCGTGTCAAGGAAGCCTGGCTGCTTCACTCATTCGTTCAAGAGTGTGGCAGGGTTCAGCCAAGCAGAAGTCGTCGGCGATGTTAGTCATCGCAGAAGGAAAGCAGCTTGCCGTCGAGCTGAAAAGGACAGCTGAAATGAAGACTGCTTTCAAGGCAGCAAGTAGCGAAGTCATCTTAAGGGCTAAAACCTTACTTCCCTTCCCTTACCCCCTGCCTTTAACCCGAACCTCCTTAACTTCCCTTACCCGCTACACCTCTAAAACCAATTAACCCCTTACCCCTAAACCCTTAACCCGGTTAGGACCCCTAACCTCTAACCCGAAACCTCCTAATCCCTAACCTCTCACCCCTCCTTCCCTTACCCCCCTCTACCTTTAACCCATACCTCTACCTTTAACCTGAAACCACCACCTCCCCTAGACAAGAGCTGCTCGGGGCGCCTTGCTCCGTAGATTTCGCGAATTTGAAGTCTTGTCGACCCTAAACCCACCCCTAAGCTTATAACCCTAAACCCTCAACGCTGCCCCCAATACTAATTACCCTTACGGTAAACCCTGCACTCATCCCTACCCTAGACTCCATTCGGCCCTTCTGCTTTCCCCTCTGTCTCTGCTCTCGAGGCCATACTGGTACCCTAAGAAGCCCAAGACCTAGCAGGCGACAATCACAGACAATAAAGGCACTTCAAACACGAGAAAATTTGAAGCAATCCAGGTCGGGGCCAGCTACAACCTATCAACCTTCAAAGCCCAGAGGGTTTAGGGTTCAGGGGTAGTGCTGAAGAAGTCTTGTGCCGGACTCTCACGAGCCAACCGAGAGTTGCTTCATAGAATGTTTGGTTGATTCTTAATGATTCCTCAGGGCGGCCTGCAGTGACCGGGCGAGCAACATCGCAATGATAATCCCAGTTGCCTGTCCCGGCCTTAGCACGCTACAGACGTCATCATCCTGCTGAGCTCCATAGGATTCAGACTTCGTGCAAGTGATTTCAAAAGTGATCGGCGCTCGCATACACTTAGGGTTTAGGGTTTCGGGTTTAGGGCCTAGTGTGCTTTGAATCCTGGTCCTGGTATGTTGCTCTCAGGCCAGAGCCGGCAGAAGGAGCTGTAGGCCGTGTGCCTGTGTCGAGTTGTGGTACGTTTCAGATTCAGGGTCTCTAATAAGGCTTAGACAGAGGCTAGGCAACAACGCCTTAGGGGTTTAGGGGTTTCGGGTTTAGGGTTTTTCGGGTTTAGGTCCTAGATTTCAGGGGCCGCAGATGCTCATGGGGCTTGCCTATGTTGTGGGTCGAGCTGAAGACCACAAAACTCGCCGGCACCAAAAACCCCAATAGTGAACACTAAGAAGAAATGGAACAGATAGAACCATAGATAGATGACCGGGTAACAAAAAAGAGCCCATTGTGCAGAGAAAGAAAACATGTTTCGCTGTGGAATGCAACCACCAACTCGCACACACCAGGGCGTCCAACCCTAAGGCTTTTTCACCCAGGGCCGAACCTTGAGACATGAAACCTGGTTACCTCAAATCCCCGCAACCTTGCTACTCATACCCACAAGCCCCCCAACAAAAATAGCACTAAGAACCCCAAAACATCAGCCCAAATGGCTTTGGCTCGAGTGTTACAATCACAGTCAATGAAAAGCTTGCGAAACACACTGGAGGCATTCAACTGAAAGCTCCTAAACCCTAAAGCCCTAAACCCTAAACCCTCCTGCTCACCGAGGCCCCAACGACAACGCAGCAGCGAAAAACCACTCCGGGCCTGAGCAGAGGCACGTTGACATGGATCACATGAGGACAATCCCAAGGCTTAAGTCGGAGTTTGGGTGTCGGGTTGAGATTAGGGGTTCGGGTTTTTGAGTGTGTAGGGTTTACGGTTTAGGGGTTTGTCGGGTTCAAATTTGGGTTTAGGGCTTTTGGGTGTTTAGGGTGTAGGTTGCCGGAGAGTGGGATTTTGGGTGTTTAGGAAGTAGGTTGCCGGAGAGTGGGGTTTTCAAGAGCATCGGCTTCGAAGTGCACTCTCTTTCCACCCCTCAATGCATCGCTTTGGAAGATGCGAGTGAGACTCATGAGACGTCATGACAATGACACCTGAAGCCTCAAGGCAATGTTGCTTTAGGAGGGTGTTTCTATGACATTACCTATTGGTCTGAAGGCTTCAGGCAGCATTCTCCAGCTTATTCAAGCGCTTCTTGAGCTTGCCGTTCTCCTTCTCCACCTCTTTCAACTGGGAGCTCACCGCCTTAAGATCCTTCTGCTCCGTTGCCAAGGATTTTTCCAGCCGATCAGCCATTGCCTTGTAGGAGTCACGCTCGAACCGCAGCTTCTCCCTCAAGTTATATTCCGTCTCCTGGTCATTTTTGAGCTTCTTGTTGGACTTTTCCGACTCCTGTAGGGTTTTGGGTTTTGGGTTTTAAGGATTAGCGGATTGGGGGGGCATGGTGTTGAGGTTTAGGGTTTTGGGTTTTGGGTTTTGGAAAATAAATGCGATGCCTCCAGCATCCGCTTGGTGATCTTGAACCGATCCTCCCACTCCTTCGTATCCCTTTGCCAGGCGCGATGGACTTCTGTCAGCGTGCTGGAGGCCTTCTCGGTCTCTCGCGAGTGCTTGTCACTCAGTTCCTGCAGCAAAGGGACCAGCCACCCCAGCCACCCCGAAACCTGAATCTTAGGAGTTTAAGGTTTAGGGTTTAGGGGTTTAGGGATTAGAGTTATTTGCCAAGCCCAGCCTGCTTCTCCTTCTGGATCTTCTCGAGCTTTTGCTCGGCCTCTTGTGCCCTGGCCAGAGCTGCGTCCTTCTCGTCACGAAGCTGGTTCTTCTCCGCGATGAGGCCGTTCTTCTCGGTCGTAAGCAAGTCCTTCTCTGTGCGCAGCTGCTGAATGTCGCCCCTGGTGTTCATCAAGTCGCTGTCCAACCTCTGTATGATGCCGCCTCTGAGAGTCGATGTCGTGGATCTGCCCCTGCACATATAATCTTGACCTAGGACTAAAACCTAAAACCCTAAACCAGTCCTAAACCCCAAACCCGAAAATCCCTAAGCTGCCCTAAACCCTGTGATGCCTCTGGCCACCCTTCGGATTCGGGCCAGGCTGGTGCTTCGGCTGGGCACCTTTCCACACACCTCCCTTCCAGGAAGTCCAGCCGCCGCCCCAGCCGCCTTTGCCTCCGCCCCAGTGCTGATCCATTGCTAGCAGTCGAAACCCCCAGCCCAAAATCCCCAGCCCTGAAGGCCCTCAACTGAGCAGTTTCGGTCGTTGCCGGGAGTTTGGGAGCACCTGCTTCCTACTACAGTCTATCAGTGTGGCTGTGGCCGGAATTAAATTATCGCTGTGGGAACCCAACCCTAAAGGTTCACCCGCGAACTCTATTATATTATGGATGAGGTTTGGGATTGATTTGGTATTGTTTGATGATAGAATGGTTCCCCAAAACGGCTGCATACCTTGAGTCCCAATGGCAGACAGCTCTGGGTTTTCATAAACCCGATTTTAGCCTGGGGTCCCCGATTACCGTCATCTCATTGCTTCACTGGCCAAAAGTGTTCAATTCTAGTGATCTTGCAGGAAACTTGGGAGGGAACCCTTTAGATGAGCATCATGTAAGAAACCTCAACTTCCTCAACGCCTTGCGACTGTGTGAAATCCTGAACCCCAACTGCATCACTCTAGGAGCCCGACACAATAGTGCCGAGGCCACCGAAATTCAGTCGTCCAGCCACGGAGCAGGCGGTCAGTCGAGACTGTCCGTGCTTGGGGGTTAATTAGGGAAGTTAAGGGTGGGTTTAGGGTTCAGGGCTTACAGGGTTTAGGGGGTTTAGGGGGCTTAGGGGGCTTAGGGTTCTGAGTTGAATGCTTATTTTTCCCTCTCACCTACCAAGGACGAGCCGGCATCCTAAAAGGGACCCTGAATTTCCACTGTTACCCGAATGTCCCTTGACAGCAGAAACCTTGCATTTATTTGGCTATCCCAGAAAACATGGGATC